ACCATGGGAAAGCTCACCAAGCAATAGAAACGTTTCAGCAAATGCAGAGAGCAAGAGTGGAGCCTAACGGCATCACATTTCTTGGCCTGTTGATTGCTTGTTCACATGCTGGTTTATGGCGAGAGGGATTGATGTATTTTGACAGGATGGTAAAGGATCATCATATAGGAATCGAGCATTATGGTTGCTTAGTCGATATGGTTGGACGAGCAGGACAACTCACCCGGGCTCTTGACATAGTTGAGAAGATGCCAATGAAACCAGACTCAAAGATATGGGGCTCATTGTTAAGTTGTTGCAGGAGTCACTGGAATCTTGAGATTGCTATTATTGCAATGGAGCATCTTATAGAGCTGGAACCAGATGACACTGGCAACTTTGTTTTACTCTCCAATATCTATGCTCATCTTGGGATATGGGAGGGTGTTTCCAGAATGAGGAAGCTTATAAGGAGTAAGAGCACTAAGAGAAACCCAGGATGCAGCTTGATTGAGGTCAACAATGTTGTTCAAGAGTTTGTATCATGTGATGATTCTAAACCATTTTCAGAGGACATCTTTCATATGCTAAAGCTGCTGACTTTGCATCCGAAGGGAGCTAACGACATCGCAGAGGGTCCAAGTAAATATTTGTGCTGAATCTCCAGATTTTTTTGAAGTATGGGAGGATTGGGGTAGTTTTCCAATAAATACCACTAGATAGAGCTTTTCATTGAAATTATTTATACCTAGAAAACCAAATGACAATTGTAATGCTGGGAGAAAGTATCAGTACCAACTGGAGTTCCTTAATCAACATAACTTATGTTCATATTGCCTCAGATATAAATGGCTTCATACTTTACTAATTTAGTATACATTGCAAATTCCAGTTGTTAAAGGTACCTAATAGCATACAATAACAATAATCATATTGAGAAAACAAGTGAGCTAAAGCATGATCATGCACATATCTAATTAATGTAATAAAGAAATTGCTCTGCTCCTGAGGCTTTTTGACCTCATTTCCCAGGATAATGTAGTTATCATCCCACGCAGTTGTAATCTCACCCCAATAAGACAAGACTTATGTCTTTGTTTCATAAGCTAGAGTACAAAAATGAAAACATGTGCATAAGCTAAATAGGGAAAAATCATCAAGTTTATTCAGTGACTAGAAACAAGAGTTCCAAATCGGCATAGCATAAGTTCAATAGTGGAGATATCATAAAGCGTCATTCACTAGGCCGCATTATCATTCAAAGGAAAGGCCACATATGATGATCAGCGCATATACACTGAAGTCCATGAAAACTGCATCCATTACCTTCTGCATCATAAAGGCTACTTCCAGAGCATTACCGACTTGCTCGACCAAGTCATGTCCATCAGTCGGACCCTTGTTTTCTCCTCTGATCATCTTCTCAGAAGCGCCTCCAGAATAAAAGAGTTGAGCCAGTGCAACTGTCACATTTGTCGTCA